AATCGTCCAAGGGGGGCGGTGACTAGTAATAAGGGGGGCGGTAATTAGTAATGCCCTAAAAAAATCCAATCATTTTTAACTCAACCACTTTTTTAACTCAACTTTAACTTAACCCCACTATCATCAATATTTTACTATAATTAAATAATATCAACCAATCATTTATACACATCACATCAACCTTAATTCACTATTCATCCACTCACATAATTTAACTAACCATCACTTCAAATCATATCTCTCATACTTTTATATCAAATCAACTTTAATTATTATATTTCAAATATTATTTTAATATACCCACTAACAACTAACCATCTAACCTTTTTCAAAATTAACCAAACCAAACCAAAAAAACCAAACAAATCCAAAAATTATTATATCCAAGCATCCCCTAAGAGGATGCTTGGATACCAATTCATCCAAAAAAAATTCAATCATTTTTAGCTCAACCATTTTTTTTTTAACTCAACCCCACTATCACCAATATTATTAATATAATTAAATAATATCAATCAATCATTCTTACACATCATATCAACCTTAATTCACCCACATAATTTTAAGAGAAATGATAAATAGCCAAACTTAGTGTACACTAGGTTGACAACACAAATAAAAAATATCCATAAAAATAAAAATATACATAAATACACAAGCGGATGTTTCCATTGTCAACCTAGTTATATACTATGTTGACTATGTATCGTTTTTCTAATTGTAACTAACCACCACATCGCATATTCTCTCTTACTTTTACATCAAAATAATTTAATTACTTGTCATTTAGACCCGAACCAGCTGTAACATAACATCGGCCATTTCGTCTTTACCCCGAGAGCTAAAGTCCTAAACTGAGAGCTACGAGCAATCCGCCATAGGCCATTCGTAAGAGCTAAGTTGGTCCTCATGTGAATGGTTTACCCCAAAAACTTAGGGCTTGATTGTATACAAAATAATTTACTCACTTTTATTTTAATTCAAAATTTAACTAAAGTTTAACTCAATCCCACTATCTTCAATATTATTCATATAATTAAATAATACAAACCAATCATTATTATACATCACATCAACTTTAATTCACTATTCATCCACTCACATAATTTTAACTACCAATCATTTTCAATCATTTATCTTTTACTTTTAGATCAAATCAATTTTAATCATTTTAATTTAAATATTATTTTAATACATTCTTAAAATTCCACTAACAACTAATCATACTACTTTTTCAAAATTAACCATGATTAATCAAAATATCTCATTTTAAACAAATTATTTCATAAACAATCAAGCCCTTACCAACTCACCTTATGACTGCTATACCACAAATTTTTTTTTAAAATTTAACCAACTTAAATCAAAATATCCATTTAAAACCACAACTTTTTTTTTTTTTTTTTTTTATCCAAGCGGTTTATCATTTTTTTCTCTAAGTATGGCGATTCGATATCTCACGCGCGCCGTACTTCCCACTACCAAATCCCTGGCCGCCATCTTCTCTCAATCCTACAGCACAGCCGCCTCGTCCTCTGGCGTCCTCAGCAGGTCCTCTTTCGCCCTGCGCCTCCGTCCTCTCGCCGCCGCCGCTTGCGTCTTCTATCCTCGCCTCCTTTCTCCGGCGATATGTACCAGGTGGTTCGCGACTCCGCAGACAGCGTCGTCTACGAACGATCAGGACCCGAACTGGTCGAAATCGGAACCGTTCGACGGTCGCGATTTCAAACACTGGGCTGTGTTCGTGAATCTGCCGCCGGAGATAGTGACGCGGGACCAAATCATTGATTATTACATCAAGACTCTTGCTGTGATTGTTGGGAGGTTTGCCATTTCTCTAATTACCGTCTCTGTGATACTGTGCATATCGCTACGAGTCCTTGATTGCTGTAATTTTGAATTACCCCCTTTCGGATATTTAGTGGTATCATGATTGCATTGCTGCCTTGTTGAGTTTCATACTAGTTAGCAAATTTTTGGTATATGCAGTGAAGAAGAAGCTAGGATGAAGATTTATTCGGTCTCGACTAGGTATTACGTTGCCTTCGGAGCTCTTGTGTCGGAAGAGACGGCGTACAAGATTAAAGGTACCGGACCTGTCAAACGGGGCAATACGAGTGCGGTCCCACACAAGTGAAGCGCACAATAAGAGGGTTAGCCCAAATGAAGCCCAAGTGAGGTTCCATCTCAAAACCAATTGGTAGTAGGAGGAGTAGCCCACTAGGCTTATAAGTGAGGCCTATTTACCCTATCAAATCAATGTGGGACAACTCACAAGTGATATTCCAACACGCCCTCTCACTTGTGAGTCCTTCATCAGCCCACGCACACGTGGCTTTTGCGCATGGCTCTACGGTAACCGATTCTGGCTCCTCTAATGGCAGGGCGTCCTCTTCCTTGAGTAACTCTGACCGGCCTGCTATATCCGGCTTAACTGATGTTCAATGGGAGTCGATCGTTCACTTGGTAACTTCAGCCCGCAGCGGAGCTCCATTATCCGGTAAGCGTAGTCCTTTTGAGTGGTTGTACGATAGCGGTGCTTCGCATCACATGACGGGCTTCTTAGATTTTTTTACTGATGTTCGGGACATTTCACCACGTTCTGTTCAGTTGCCTAATGGCACGCTAACCACGACATGTAAAGCTGGGACTGTTCATCTTGGTTCTCGTATTATGTTGTATGATGTTTTGTTCGTTGACAGTCTTCAGTGCAACTTGATATCTTTATCTCGGTTATTGGACCAATCTGGATGTATTGCCACTTTCACTAATAAATATTGTGTCGTTCAGGACCTCACTTCGAGGATGGTGATTGGAGCGAGTAAGCAGTTGGGGGACTGTATTTTTTTCGAGGGACGATCGCTGCAAATAATTCTCGAGTGACTTCGGTTTCAACACACTTGTGGCACCAGCGGTTGAGTCATCCCTCTTCTACTGTCCTTGGTCAATTTCCGTTTATCGAGTCTAGTTCTTTAATTTCGAATAAAATGTGATGTTTGCTGTCGGGCAAAGCAATCTCGTGCTAGTTTTCCGATTAGTCATAGTATTAGCAGCTCCATATTTGGTTTGTTACATTGTGATCTATGGGGACCTTATCGCGTACCTGCCTTTAGTGGTGCTCGCTATTTTTTGACTATTGTTGATGAGTTAGGCCTTTAGTAGCCTACTAGGCGTATAAGTTAGGCCTATTTACCCTATCAAATCAATGTGTGACAACTCACAAGTGACATTTCAACACGCCCCCTCACTTGTGAGTCCTTCATCAGCCCACGCCTCCAACTAGGCCGGGTATATTTTTTAGCCCACGCCTACAACCAGGCAGGGTATAATTTTCAGCCCACGCCTACAACCAGACCGGGTAGCTTTTTTTTTTTTCATAGTAGGTCCCAAATTAGGCCTGCTCTGATACCATGTCAAACGGGGGCAATACGAGTGCGGTCCCACACAAGTGAAGCGCACAATAAGAGGGTTAGCCCAAATGAAGCTCAAGTGAGGTTCCATCCCAAAACCAATTAGTAGTAGGAGGAGTAGCTCACTAGGCTTATAAGTTAGGCCTATTTACCCTATCAAATCAATGTGGGACAACTCACAAGTGACATTCCAACAGGACCCCTGAGTTATTTATCGTACCACATTGCTTTCTGATTCTAATCAAAACCTTTTGTGTTTCTTAAATTGATTAAAAACTTGTGGTGCAGCGATATATAATGTTGTTTTTGTGCTTCCGGACTTATACTTGGATGTGGAGAATAAAGTTTATGGAGGTGAGCCATTCATCAAGGGCCAGGCTGTGCCATATGACCCCAAATATCACGAGGTGTATCTCAGAAACAAGGCTCGCATGACCAGGCCCATCGACATTGTCAAGACACGGAACTTCGAGAGCATGGACAATCGAAACAACGGAGGGCCACAGAACTCATGTTAGTTCGTCCACCACCACCACCACCAAATGCTCCTAATGCGGGTGGTGTGAATGTTCCTGGGAGAGACTATGTAAATGAAGTATGAGCCTCTTTGTTATTGTGTAAGAATTTCATTGTTGTTTTGGTTTCACAAAACAAAAAACGTGTGCGAATGTTTTTGTTTGCTATTTGACAATGCGCGTATGTTGTCATGCGAATGTGCTGATGGTTTCCTCCTGTTCGTAATTTATGATGTTGTTTGCTAGTATTTAGTTGTGCTGGATCATATCTCAACGGCTGTGCTAGATTTTTCAGATTTTATATTGGTATTTGAAGTTTGTTTCATCTTCAAAAACTCTTAGGCTATGTTTGTTTTGAGGAATTTGAAATCCCTTGATTTCAAAATTTTTGAAATATAATTTTTTACTTGCACGTTCATTAAATGGATTTGTTGAAATGTGTTGTGTACCAATTGTTATTTTTACTGAGTACCGAATCGAAAGATTCGTTTCCCGGGTCGATCTCACGAGGAAGGTTGTTCGGAATTTAGAAATGGTATCGATCACACACAAAAGAAAATAAAATCATAAACACTCTAATCAAATAAAGGGGATGAATAATTATCAACTAACAAATAAATAACAATGCAAAAATGTAAATCTACCTAAGAATATGGATGAAACGAAGATGGAGAAGCTAGAGAATCGGGGATAATTAATTCAAGTTTTAGCAAAGTCGGGCATTCAATTGTTCAGTTCAAGATTGACACTCTTGCTTATACATTTAGAGGTTCGCTCCCAATAACTTTTCGTAACAAGAGATTAAACATAGACGTGCAAGTTCGAGCATACAATACAAGTCAATTATCCTAATACCAATAACTTTTCGTAACAAGGGACGGGTCATCGACAAGCACATATTTCAATCTAAAACACATAGATTATTCATTTACGAACTCATCTACCTCATGCGAGCCTAGATCTACGACTTCTCCTCTTTCGGTTCTAAAGTCGCTAATTCAATTAAAAGAGAATTAATCGACTAATCACATAGTATCAACAAAACCCTAACTCCACTAATCAACATTCAATTGTTACCAATTGCAATATCGAAGTGTCACTCTTCGATTATATCAACCAATCAAGCAAGATTATATCAATCCCTAATCAAAACAACTCACATAAGTATGAACAAATTCAAGCCCGAGAGATGTGAATTGAACAAGAACAATCATTCCCCAATCCCTAGCGAAACGAATTAGCTAGGCATATTGAATTCAACACAATAAATCTATTCTCCTAATTTAATCATTGTTCATGAATTAAACAAGAGAGAAAAGCTTACAATTATTCCAATCCGAGTTTGAATGTTGAAGTCGAGATACAAGCTTAATCCGAAAAAAAGAAATAAAAAGGAAAATAAAAATGAAAAGAAGAAGAAAAATGGAGAAGAAGGAGAGAGGAGAAGGAGAAGAGCGGAGTTCGTGAATTATCCCCGGACCTAGGGCTTTCGCCCCAGACGAGCGTTGAGAAAAATCGTCCCTAAAGCGTCCAAAATCTGTACTTTAAAAAACTGAATTCGCAGCTTCCACGGTCGTGGGAAAGTCCACTGGCCGCGGCGATGAGACGCTCCGCGGCCGCGAGATGTTCCGTGGCCGCGATATTTCTGCTCTGTAAACTGGTTGCTTGGATCCGTTTGGTCGTCGCGGCCGCGGGGAAGGAGAAGTCGCGACCGCGGTCTTGAAATCTGGCGGGCAGGGAAAAATTTGCAGGCGTGGCAGGCTTGCCGCGGCGCGATGAGGGCGTTCTCCGCGGCGTGAAGTGGACACGGCGTGGCATGAAGCGCGGCGCGACACGGGGCGTGGCATGAGGCTTCACCGCGGCGCGGGGCTCATCTCACAGCGTGAAGGGCGGCTCTGCCGCGGCGCGCAGGTCCTCGCGACGTGATGAATGGTGGTCCTGGGAACGGCTGGCGCGGCGTGGGAAGGTGCAGCGGCGCGGAGGAGTCTTCTGTCGCGGGGTGTTGTCCTTGCGCGACGTGAAGAGAAGATCTGTTGCGTTAAGAGCGGCTTTGCCGCGGCGCGGAGAAGCAGGTTATCGCGGCGTGTCGTCTGCCGCGGCGCGGGGAACGAATTTCTGGCCTCTGTCGAAGTTGTGGCGATGGCACGACGCGGGAGTGGGCGTGAAGCTGGGAGCTCGGGCATGAATTAGTTAGCTTTCGTGCACTATTTCACGTCTCGGGATCGTCTAGGCTTGTCCGGAAACGGAATTTGATTCCGTTTTCTTCTACTTGTTGCCAACGAAACCTTCAATATAATTACACAAGCACGGTCAATTTTTGCCTGAAATCCGGTCCTCCCGAAATTTTCAACCTGCACACCAAAAACAAGAAAAAACAAAAAAAAAATACATGAGAAACGCAAAGAAACTAAAATAAAGCAAAACACACAATAAACGATAAAATAAACTAAAACTCAACTAAACGACTCAAAATAGGGGAAAAAGAAAGACAAAAAGATTACAAAAAACGCAACAAAAATAGGACAAACAAAATGATCGCGAAAGATGCGGTCGGTGACGAACCCAAATGATCGAGGACGGTGCGGTCGTCAACGGTGATACACAATGGAATTTAAATGACTAGGTTTGATGAGTCGTTTTAAAATTTTTCAAAGTAATGATTAAAAATTATCTAGCATCTATTTGAAATATCCCAACTTCTATTAATATCTCAAGATTTGAACTTGTAAATTTGAAATCTATGTCGATAAACGTAGTCTTAGAGTACCAGGAATGGGTAAATTGCGCCAAACCCCCCTGTATTATACTAAATCTGCGCCTTATCCTCCTCTATTTTAAAAAATGCACCATACCCCCTTGTATTATACTTTTGATTGCGCGTTATCCCCTAAACCGTCTAACTTGACGGATGTGCATTTCACGCGTGTGTGGTGCGGCTTTTTCTCCATTTTTTCGCCATAAACTCAAGGAAATGACTATTTTGCCCCTTAATAGCTGAATTAAATTGAACTCCTCTTTCGCTGAGGGTTTTCTTCAAATCGTTCGAGAAAGAAAAAGTCGTTTTCTTTAAATTGAACTCCTCTTCCAATTTTTTTTCTTCAAATCGCAAGGCTGTGAGGTAAGCTTTCGCAATCCAAATCGCTTTGAGGTAAGCTTTTGCAATCCGAACCTCAGAAATCCAAACCTTAATCTTGTGCATTTTCGAAATTGAAATTATGGTTTCAAATTAGGTCATTTACGAATTGAAATCATTTTTTGAAATTAGGGTTTCAATTTGTTGAGGCTTAGTATAGGTTTGTTGTTTGTGAATTCATTTTACAGAAATCAGGTTTGTTTGTTCCAATTTTTTCGAATTAGGGCATTTTCGAATTAGGGCATTTTTTGAATTAGGGCATTTTTTTTTAATTAGGCCATTTTCGAATTACAGAAATCATCTTTGATTTTGCAAATTAGGGTATTTTCGAATTATAATTTAAAATCAGTTTTGGTTTGTTTGTCCCAATATTTTTTATTTTTATTTTTATTTTTTTTTTATCTTTTCCATGTAGAAGATGTCTTCCAAAAAATCAAAGATGTCAAGGAATGAGAGTTTGGATCTTAGGTATAAGCATCCTAAGTGTTATTGCAACACATTTGCTCTCATTAAAGTTGTTGGCCCTACGAAAGAAACCGTTGGCAAGCTATTTTGCAATTGTCCGTACAACAAGTGTCGTTTCTTTGCTTGGCTTATACCTACCTCAGTGAATTGGGTGAAGTCAAATGAAGTACATGAAGATGATGTTTTTTTGGAAGATGATGGTGATGAGGTTGAGTCAACCGGGGCAAAACTAACAAATGAAAATTGGGAAATTGCAACAATGTTGAAGGAGATTCAATCAAAGATCGAGAAGTTTGAGAAAATATTTAGCAATGGATTGCTTTGTTTGGTTATTGTTGTTCTTATGGCTATTATTGTGCTCAAGTAATTAAAGGGTTTAACTAATGTAATCATTTGTACAATGTGCCTTTGTTATGAAGATTGTTATGAATGGAATGAAATTTGTTGTTCCTGAATGAAATTTTTACTGTCAATGCTTCTCCACTCCCACCACATCTATCTCCAAATGGTCATTATCATTACTACTATGACTAGCAACATAAAAATATCTGAACACACTATAAAAATCAAACATTACTGCCAAACATTCAACACCAAACATCTAAAACCAAAAAAATAGTACATGGAAATACACAACAATACAGCCAATAGCATTCAGCCAAACATTTAAAACCAAACATTCATAACCCACCAATACTGCCAATAGCATTCCAAACAAAATACACAATAGTGATACCACAACTACATTGTCATAACCATTAACATCACCATAGAGCAAATGAATTGTTTACTGAACACACCAAAAGTCCATGGAATGAAAGAGTTATTGACCAACACTAAATGGAATCACCAATCACTACCATAATCCCTACTTTGTTGAGGATAATTGTGGACCAGAGCACTGAAGAAAATCTTCAAAGCATGGCATGGATGGAACATATGGCTGAGGTGGCTCAGGCTGAGGTGGCTGAGGTGGCTGAGCTGGCTGAGGGTGAGATGGCTGAGGGTGAGGAGGCTGAGGCTGAGGGTGAGCTGGCTGAGGCTCCCTTGGCTGCCCAAAAAAAAAAAAATGAAAATAGTAAAACAACTAAATTCAGAAATAAGAACAAAAGAAATTGAAGTAGAAAAAAAATATAATAGACACTGACCTGTTCCCTTATTTTGGTGCACCTTCTCTTATTGTGGTTGTTGAGCCCACATAGACTGCATTTCTTCATAAGGCCCTTTCTGCTGTTGTTTGATGCCTTAAGCCTTATGTCATTAGCGTCAGCTCTTCTTTTCTTTGTTGGCCTACCCCTTTTTTCACAGCATCAGGTGGTTGTATTGGACCCATTCCAGACTCTTCATAGTCATTCATCCCCGGCACTGGGAAGATCATATGGGTATACATTCTGATATACATGTC